TAATCCCTTCGGCTGATTGCTCTTCTGTCCGGGCTCAAGGCTTTTATCCCCTTCCCTGCTCTTCCAGCCTGCTACTCTGGCGTCCCTGCGTTGTCTCTCCTCACCTGTAAGCCTGGGGCTCAAGGCTTTTATCCCCTTCCCTGCTCTTCCGGCCTGCTACTCTGGCGTCCCTGCGTTGTCTCTCCTCAAATTTGTGTGTATGCATGTTTAATAAGAGATGTGACTAAACGTTCAAAATTGCTGACTCTGGGTAAAGGGCATGTAGAAGTTGCCTGTACTATTTTTGATAAATTTCTTTAAATCTGAAGTGAAATAAAAAGTTTAGAAAATACATTAATTTAGTTTCTTCTGACATAAAGTGTTCCTGTTGAAAAGTCTGATGGTAATTTAATGTTCTCCTTATAAGTCACCTATTCTTTCTGCTCAGTTACCCAAAGCATTTTGCTTTTACATTCAGTTATTTTTAGAATCTGTCTTGGTGTTGGTTGATCTGGGTCAATAATCTCAGGTACAGAGTGTGCTCATGGAAATGAGTATTTTCAATTTTTATTTTTTTAATTAAATTTCAGGAAAGTATTTTTGAGTTATAGGTTTTAGTATTTATTCATTCAGGGTGGTGATACTAGCATGAATTTGAAACAGATCATAGATCTGAAAGCTCTACCACATAAAATAATAACAAAACCTTAATTATCCATTCATTCACGTATCTATTGAACATTTACTATATAATTGCTGTTGTTGTTAGTTGCCATCAAGTAGATTACGACTCATGGCTATTCCGTATGTACAGAATAGAACTGCTCCATAGAATTTGCAAAGCTGTTACCTTTCAGAAGCAGACTGCCAGGCCTATCTTCCAAGGTGCCTCTGGGTGGGTTCAAATCACCAACCTTGTGACTAATAGTTGAGTGCTTAATCATTTGCACCACCCAGAGACTATTATGTAGGTATACCTTCAAAAACCAAATGAAATGTACTGCCATATAGTCAATTCCGATTCAGAGCGATCCCCTTTTGAGTTTCTGAAGTGGTAAATCTTTATGGAATTAGATTGCCCAGTCTTCCTTCCTCGGAGTGGCTGATGGGTTTGAACCACCAACCTTCTGGTTAGCAGTCAGATGCCTTAGGCACTACGCCACCAGAACTCCTTTTAGGTGTACCAAGTCCACAAAAATAAGGAATGGGAAAAATACATGGAATCATTTACTGAATCCTGGAATGACTTCATCCTGTTAGTAATACAGAAAACCCATTGCCATCGAGTCAGATCCGACTCATAGCGACCCCTCCTTGGGTTTCCAAGGCAGTATCACTACGGAAGTAGATTGCCCAATCTTCCTTCTGTGGAGCGGCTGGTGGGTTTGAAGCACCAGCCTTCTGGTCAGCAGCCAAATGCTTTAGGCACTACGCCACCAGAGCTGCCAGTAATACAGGGTAAGGGTATATTTTTAGAGTGCTCCATTTCCTTTCATTTATCCTGTGACTACCAGTCTACTATTTAATCTCAATACCTGAGTGGTACAATGAAGAATTATAAAGTTCAGTCCAATAAGTACTTTTTAAAAGTAAACTATTGAAATTCCATTAACATTTGTAAGTTGAATATCCATTTCCTATTTTTTAAAAATGCACTTGACATAATACTGACACTAAAACTGAAATTATTTATTTTCATATTCATTATTATGTCAGTCAACATCTAATCCAGAAAAAAATTCTTAGTTAAGTATTTCATATTTTAAAACTACAAACAAGAATTTAGCCAGAAATAGATAAACCCACAATGAGTATGTATTAAATATATTTCACAACAACTATTCAAGCAAAGGCAATTATCTTACCATTTCTAATAAAATAGCTTGAGTTTTGGCCTCTTTTTCTGCTTTTATTTCTTCTACTTCTTCAACTGACCTTCCTTTGAAATCATCAATTTCTTCATCTGCTCCTATTCGACCACTCTGAGAAACATGGAAGGCATTATGCTTTTTCAGTTCCATCCAAAGTGTTAAAATAGCAACTGAAACAAATTTGCAAATCTGTGAAAACTGATTTAAATTAATTCTACAATACCAGCAAAACAGAAAATCTAACTTAGCATAATCAAAATAAACATTTATATAGAAACTATTTGGTATATAACTAAGTGCTGTGTGCAGAAAACAAATGATCTTAGAAATTAAGCCCCAAATCCCAACTCATAAAGACTAAGTCAGCTTTTAGAAAGCCTCACAGCAGCATTGTATACCTTCAAATATCGGAGGGAAAAGTCTATGTTGTTCTTTAAAAATTTCTGGGTTTTACACTAGTTCAAGATTATCTCTCATTAAGGACCAGGTTTATTGGTCTGATAGAGCCTGGTGGAACTGAGACTATGGTCCCTCGCTGCCCTTCAGGTCTGCAATTGAACCCACACCTGTGGCTTCCACCCAAATAAGAGACAGGCATATGAGTTGAACATTTACCTGAGGTAGATACACTCCTTGGAGAGAAAAATCATGGGAGAAAGAAGGGCTGTTTATGCACAGGGAGATAGCTCAGGGGGCAGGAGTGCATGGAGGGATAGACACAGGGAAGACGTAACTATCAGGA